TATTCCTAAAAAGCGTAAACTTTCCAGTAAATCAAAAACAATAATTTCGAAAAAATTGCTGCCAGTCTTGTCAACTAATAAATTTCTAGATACAAAACAGACCACCATTGATCAAGTTGCTACAATTGTACCCAGCACAGAAGCTAAAAATCCAAATAAAAAGCCTTACTCTATCCTTTCATTCTTTCATAAAACAAACCCAGACTTAGAACCTACTAATGCAGTCTTACAAAATACATCTTGTATTCTAAAATCAAATTTTCTTCTCAATTACCAGTGTCTTCTTCTCAATCCACAACATCTTTTCAATCATTAACATTAAATAAAGATGTTTCTTCTCACTCAAAAACATCTAAGGACAGTGTTCTATCAAAATCATTTTTTACAAAATCTTCAAGCATCAGGAAAGTACCTAATTTTTATAATAATAATAATAATATTGAATGCCCTTTGAACATTATTTTACCACCTAAAGAAGTACTAAATGCTCTTCAGTCTTTTGAGCAAAATGATGTTGCTTTCTTTAGACAAAAAGTTGAATTTTTATTTGACCATGAAATTTTTTTATTAACTAAAAGTATGTTTATTCCCAATGAAGATTACATTTTCCCAAAAAATTCTGGTCGTCAGTTTACATATTTTTGGTTGAAAGAGTTTTCTTGGCTGAGATATTCTAAAAGTACTGATGGGGCATTTTGTTTATCTTGTGTATTATTTGGCAATAAATTCAAACTAAGATCATGTAAGTTAACACATTTGTATTTGGAGCCTTTCAATAAATGGTCTGATGCTATTAGATCATTTTCAAAACATGAGTCAACTAAAAATGGTTTACATGCATTTACTATGCCTGTTTTTAATATTTTTTTGAGTCATTTCTCAGGCATAAATCAACCAATAACTGTCATCATTGATACTAATGTAAAAGAAAAAATAATAAAAAATTGCCAAATACTTGGTCCTATTGTTGATGCTATAATTTTTTGCGGTGAAACCAATACACCTTTGAGAGGCCACAGAGATGATTCACAATATCTTCCAGAGGCTGGAGAATATTCGAAATGTGGAATGTGGTTGTTTTAATAAACTTTTAAATTTTGCTGTACGCAATGGAAATGAGGTTTTAGGCTCTCATCTTAATAACTGTTCAAAGAATGCTTCCTATATTTCAAAGACTTCACAAAATGAAATTGTTAAATGCTGTGGTGAAGAAATTAGTGAATCTATACTATCTGAAGTTCGCAAAAATGTTTTTTTTTTTCAATAATTGCAGATGAAGCCTGTGACTCATCTACTAAAAAGCAAATGTCATTAGTTTTACAATTTGTTGATTGTGATTTCAATATTAGAGAAGACTTTATTCAATTTATTCATTGTAGTGAAGGAGTTAAAGGAAAAGATTTGTTTAATGTTCTTTTAAATTGTGTAAGCAACTTAAATCTAGATATAAAAAACTGTAGGGGTCAGGAATATGATGGAGCCAGTTCTGTCTCTGGGTATATAAATGGTCTTTCTGCTCAGGTTCTCAATATAAATTCAAAGGCTTTGTATACACATTGTCATAGCCATCGATTGAACTTATCAGTTTGTGAATCGTGTAATGTCCATTTAGTTTCAGAGGTTTTTAATAAAGTTCGTGAACTTTCTTATTTTTTTAAATATTCAGAAAATAGACAAAAGTTTTTAGAAGCTAGCATTTTAGAGCGAGAACCTCAAACGCATAAAAAAAAATTAAAAAATATCTGTAGAACTAGATGGATTGAGTGTATAGATGGTTTAAACACTTTTCTTGAGCATTATTTATCTATTTTCCATGCTTTATGTATCATGGCTTCCCCTGAGAGTTCTGTTAACAAAGACACACAAAACAAATCTTCTACATTTTTAAATTCCATTGGCACTTTTCAATTCGTCTTTACTTTAGTTGTGACAACACGTGTCTTTGATTTTACTTTACGTGTTACTCGGTTACTGCAATCAAAAACTATTGATATCTTAGACGGTTTGCACCTTATTACAGCTCTTAAAAATACATTTATTTCCATCAGAAACGATATAGATAGTTTTCATAATAACTGCTATGAAGCAGCATGTTTGCTTTCAAGTAAAGCTGAAATTTTTGTTTTAAAACCTGTTCTATTCAAAAAAATCGTTCTAATGTTCCATCAGAGTCTGTTTCAGAATACTACAAAAGAGCTGTTACTATCCCTCTTATAGATCATGTATCTACATCTATATCTACAAGATTTAAATCAGGAACTGTAGCTGCATATAAAGGGTTATCAATTATTCCATTTAATATTATTTCTTTTCTTAAAAGACCCAAAACCCAAATGTGTTGGAAGAAGCAGTTTGAAACATTCTGTGATTTTTATATAGATGATTTCACTAATATCAGTGCCTTAAATGGGGAACTAGTTCTTTGGGAAAAATACTGGGAAAGTTTCTCTGGGACTATTCCTGACAATATATCTTTAACTCTTAAATCGATATCATTTCCTGGATTTGAAAATATTAAGATAGCTTTAAAAATACTTGGGACACTTCCTGTTACTTCATGTGAGTGTGAGAGGAGTTTTTCTGTTATGCGTCAGTTAAAAGACTATATGAGAACAACAATGTCAGAAGATCGACTTAACGGTTTGGCATTAATGTATATCCATCAAGAAATTGTTCCTTGTATTGATAATGTTATCAATAGATTTTCTATAAAAAATAGACGACTTGATTTCAATAGTTAGTGTCTATACTGTTTATTTTATAACACACCAACAACTTTTGAAATTTTTGTCTATATATATCTACTATAGCATATTTATATGCGCAATTGCTCACTTTTTTTGCTAGCCTAAATTAAGTGACCGTTTTTAGAAAACGATGAGGGAAAACGAAGAACAATGAATGAAAAGGTTGCTGACCCATACCAAACTCTCAGTCGATGTAGCAGCACTCCACTGCGAGTCAGGCTATTTGTCAGTCGATGTATGTACTGAAGCCCCCGGCAGCAGGCTGTTTGACGTTAGGTGAGTATGACATCATCATGCTCACCTAACTCAGCAGTATAAGATATATTATCACCTCTATTCATATAACAGCTAACAAATAGGCATGGAAACCCCTGGAAAGGCCAAGACTTCAATGGTGTCCTTAACAGGACGGGTTAAATGTAACCCCATACTTTTGTTTGGGATTAGCTATATGATTAGTAATCATAGTTCAGGCAAACATTACCCATCTCTTTTTGACAATCTCTTTATATCATTTTCTAGCGACAAAATAAAAAATTATTTTCAATAAATTTTCTCTCAATCAACCTAATAATATTCATAAGTTTTTGTGCCGTTTAAATCAGTTTTTTGCTGTAGTTGTCAAAATCATTAGCTTTCTTTTTATTTCATCAAAAATAATCTGCTTTCTTGTTGTTAAAGCTTACCTTGGTATGTCTTTTTTTTTTAAATCTTGTTATATAAGAATATATATGACTTTTTATTTCACGATGTATATAAATCCATTTGTATTTTTGTCTTTTCTTAATTTTTCTTTCTCTGATTGTCCATGTCTGGAATAAATATGTTCCTAGACATGCTGATGAGCCTTGATATTGGGCGAAACAATCATTTGTTGGTTTATATATATTTATTATATATTTGTATATAAAAAAAGTTTCAAAGTAAAACTAAGATATGAGCTTCTCAATGAAATAGCAAAAAGAAAATCCCTTTAAATCCTCCAGCCCAAGGGCAAGAGGATTTAGGGGATACATAGGGGGCAGGCTATGGAAGCGATGGCCTTCCTTAGATGTTTTTTTTTATATGAACATTTTGTAAAAACGTAAGTAAATTTGGTAGGCTGTTTAAAAGTGGCATAAAATTGTGTAATCTAAATTTTTTTTTTTTTTGGGCTTGCCTGCTTAAAAATCGTTAAACCTGTAAATCGCTTCCTTTAATCGTTTGGATCGAACGAAAAGAAAAATTGCCCACCCCTTTACTACATAGTCCAGATCCGCCCTTACTTATTCCCCCTCCCCCTCCCTATTTTTTCTATTTGCTTTGTGGGCGTAGTTGCGTCACTTACTACATGGCGTAAGGCGCATTTTTTTTGACGGGGTAAATTAAAAACCTGCGTCCGCCCCTGAAGAGTATAACCAAATAAATTAGCCATTATCACAATTATAAAGAAATCGTTAAATTTATTTATTGCTTTTTATAAAGTCATCTAAAAAAGAAGAATGAAAATAGTTACATAAGAGAATAAATAAAGCAGGCATTTAGAAAGAATATAAACAAATACATCTTTGAAACTTTCAAAAGAACTAACCTTTTATCAACTTAGTAAGTGTTATAATTATATTTTAACTTTTCCTAATAGTAATTTTTAATTGGTTTATAGAAAAATAAAGCAATACTAAATAAATGAAACTAACAACATAGTGCTTAAACAGAAATTTATAAAAGTTTTACATAAAATAATAATGGTTGACAATAAAAGCATAGTTCTAACTAACAAAATGGTGTAAGGAGTAAGTAAAAATAAAAGTACTGAAAATTCTTGTTTTTAATGAGTCTAAGCTTTTCTCTAAAGCAAGATTATTGACTCTGTCATTGACTAATTTATTATTATTGTTTAGATCAACTTGTTTTCTTGATAATATCAAGATCTACTAGATGTTACATCTACTAGATGTAACACATACACTCAAAACTAAACACATAAAGAAATAGTTAAAATATATTCAACCAAATAAATAAAATAATCAATATTTAACTTTTTTTACTAATACTTTTTTCTAACGACTCTAAAGATAGCAAAAATAAATAACAAGTTAGATAAACAAATAATTTAACTTAAAAGCCTTATTTTTATTTAAATATAATAATTTAAACCGAAATAATAAAAAAAGCAACAATTAAATAGAAGTAAAAAAAAATGCACAACAACTTTTATTTTATAAACCTTTCCTTAGCCCCCACGTCAGAAGTGAAAAAAAAAAATTTAGGTACCTTTTTTGCGAGGAGTAGAAAGATATTTGCGGCACATTTTTTTTGAGGAAATTTGGCAGGTGAATAGAAAATAGGTATAAAAATAATGGAGAGCGGATTAATAAAAAATTCAATATTCCTTCGATGATAATTTCATGTGAGAACAGCAACATATTTTTTAAAATCAATAAAGCCATTATAAAATTTAATAAATATACAAAAAAGTGACATGAAAAGATAGCTAAACTCTTCTATTTT